AACTGGGAATGGGAAACTGGGAATGGGAATGGGAATGGGAAACTGGGAATGGGAATGGGAATGGGAATGGGGAACTGGGAATGGGAATGGGAATGGGGATGGGGATGGGGGAGTGGGAATGGGAATGGGGATGGGAAACTGGGAATGGGAAACTGGGAATGGGGGAATGGGAATGGGAAACTGGGAATGGGAAACTGGGAATGGGAATGGGAAACTGGGAATGGGAATGGGGATGGGATTGGGAATGGGAATGGGGGAATGGGAATGGGAAACTGGGAATGGGAATGGGAAAACAGGAATGGGGGAATGGGGGAAAATGGGAATGGGGATGGAAATGGGGACGGAAAAATGGGAATGGGAAACTGGGAATGGGATTGGGGGAATGGGAATGGGGACAGGAAAATGGGAATGGGGATGGAAAAACGGGAATGGGGGAATGGGGGGAAATGGGAATGGGATTGGGGATGGGGGAACAACGGGAACAGCGGGAACGTGGGAATGGGAATATGGGAACAACGGGAATGGGAACAACGGGAACAGGGATGGGAATGTGGGAATGTGGGAATGATGTGGGAATGTGGGAACAGCCTGGGATGGGGGTTGGGATCCCCTCAAGGAATTTTGGGATCTCCTGGGGAGGATCTGGGGTCACCTGAGGGAATTTTGGGATGGACTGGGGGAACTTTGGGATTTCCCTGGTGGAATTGCGGGATTGCCTCTGGAATTGCGGGATTGCCTCTGGAATTGCGGGATTGCCTCTGGAATTGCGGGATTGCCTCTGGAATTCTGGCTCACCTGGAGGGGCCTGGGCTCGGTGATGAGCTGGGGGGGCCCTTGGGGACATCCCGAGGGCTCCGGCTCCTGCCGGGATCCCGGAATTCCCACGGATCCGGGGGGGGATCCCAGCAGGGTCAGGGCCACGTAGGCACCGGCTGGAAAAACGAAACAAACAACAACGGGATACGGAGAAATTCCAGGGAAAGCTTGGGATAAAGAAGGAAAATTTACAGAGGGAAAAGGAGAAAAAAAAAATAAAATCCCGGGGGAAAAAAAATCCCGGGAGAAATGAGAGCGAGAAGGAATTCCTGGGAAAATCTGGGATAAAGAAGATTCCAGAAAAAAAAATAATCCTGGGAAAAGGGAGAAAGAGAAGGAGAAACTTCCAGGAAAACGGGAGGGAAAGGATTGCCGGGAAATATTTGGGATAAAGGGGTGAGAAAAAATTTCCAGGAAAAAAATTTGGGATAAGAAACGAGAAAAAACTTCCGAGAAAAAATTCCCGGAAGAGGAGAATTCCCGGGAAGAACTTGGGATACGAAGGATTCCCTGGAAAAAAGTGTGGAAAGAGGGGTGGCAACGCTCCCGGGCTCCCCCAGAATTCCCAAAGGACGGAAAACTCTCCCCCAACCGCCCCGAATCCGCTTTTTCCCACGGAATGGGGAGAGAATTCCCGGGAATTCCGGACTCACACTTGATCAGCTTCACCACTTCCAGGTGGGAGCTGTTGCTCACCATCGTCCCATTCACCTGCGGAACAGAACGAAAAAAAAAAACCGGGAAAAGTTTTTTTCCGCGGGGGTGGAAAAAAAGAAATTAAAAAGGGGCCGGAAAAACTCCGGGAATTCCCCCGAGGGAATTTGGGATTCGGGGAATGCCAACCTTGACGATGCGGTCGCCCTCCTGCAGCCCGGCCCTCATGGCGGCCCCACCTGGATACGGATTTGCCGGGAATGTTCCCGAGGGATTTTTTTCCCCCCTCCCTCAAGCCCAGAACCCTCCTCAACGCCGATTTTCCCACGTTTTTCCGGTTTTTTTCCATGCTTTCCTTCAGTTTCTCCACCGTTTTCCTCCTTTTTCCCCAGGTTTTTGCCTTTTCTCCCGTTTTCCCCCTCGTTTTCTCCCTTTCCCCAATTTTCCCGCCATTTTCTCCCTCACATTCCCGCCATTTTCTCCAGTGTTTTCCCGCCATTTTCTCCAGTGTTTTCCCGCCTTTTTCTCCTCTGTTTTCCAGCCATTTTCTCCCTCACATTCCCGCCATTTTCTCCAGTGTTTTCCCGCCTTTTTCTCCAGTGTTTTCCCGCTTTTTTCTCCCTCGTTTTCCCGCCATGTCCCCCCCAGGCTGAGGATGGCGATGGACGAGGAGATCCCTGGGCATTGTCCGGCCTCTCCAGCCCCGTGTCCGGTTGTGTGTCCGGTTGTGTGTCCGGTTGTGTGTCCGGTTATGTGTCCGGTTGTGTGTCCAGTCCAGTGTCCGGTTGTGTGTCCGGTTGTGTGTCCAGTTGTGTGTCCAGTCCAGTGTCCAGTCCAGTGTCCGATTGTGTGTCCGGTTGTGTGTCCAGTCCAGTGTCC